CCTCCCCCAACCTCCCCCTCCTCCCACTTATGAGTGAGGACATGCAGTATTTATCTTTTGGTATAGTCACTTTTGGAAGTTTGCGTAATCTCCTAAAGCTGAAGCTTTGCATATCCTTAACTTGGCTATTCTCCTAAAGTATATTCACAACAGAAATGTGTACACTAAGACACATGTATATAAATGTTTATTATAGTGTTATTCATTGTATTAGTCTGTTTTCTACCTGAACACCTGAAACTGCGTAATTTATAAAGAAACAGAATTTATTTCCTACTGTTTTTGAGACTGGAAAGTCTGAGGTCTGGGGGGCACATCTGGTAAGGGCCTTTTTCTTGGTGGGGGCTTTCTACAGAGTCCCATGGCAGCGCAGTGTATCACATAATGAGGGCTGAGAAGAGCATTTCCACATACTCACTTGCTCTCCTTATAAAGCCCCCAGTCTACTCCCTGATAACCCATTAAATCATTAACCCATTAATCCATGAATAGATTAATCCAGTCACCTCTTAAAGGCCCGACCTTTCAAATACCATAGTGGGGACTAAATTCCATATAAGCTTTGGAGGGGACAAACATTCAAACCATGTATTCATAATAGCCTCAAACTGGACACAACTCATATCAACATTAGACAGGGTAAATAAATTGTGGTATAGTCATACAACAGAACATGATACAGCAACAAAAATGGGCAGCTTGCATTTTTACACAACATAATATGGATGAATGTTACAACTATAGTGTTGAATGAGAAAGGCAAGACACAAAATAATGTGTGTTGTATTATTCCATTTACATAAACTTCAAAGAGCAATCAAAACAAAACCGTAGTGTTTACTGTGGCCTGCTTAAATGAAAATATAAAGTGAAACAAGGAAATGCTTATAAAAGTTTAGGTTACCTTTGGGGAGGAGGTAAACAAGGATGATTGGGAAGGGGACACCAAAGTGGAAGGGTTCTGGGTCCAGGAAATGTTCTATTTCTTATATGGGGTTTCACGAGTGTTTTTCCAAATTATTGAGCGGTACAAATTTGTTTTGTGGGCTTTTTCTGTATGTTTCTTATTGCACAATTTTTAAAAGATTAAAAAATGTAGAGAGAGTGCTCAACAAATAGGTCAAAGAAGACAAATTTCATGCAAAAGTTTGCTCTAAAAACATGTTGATAAGTAACACTTCAGTGCAATTAGATTTATCCAGAACTTCTCATTTGGTAGTCATTAAAGCTCAGTAAGTAATAAATTACTTCCTTCAGTAACCATTATTTACCAGTAGGTAAGAACAGGTGGGCAATCCTCACTTCGCACAGTGGGACCATAAAAAATGACCGTTCATGTTGAAACCATGCACAATGATCTTAATCAGTGGAAAAAATTACAGTTGTTTCATGCTCTTTAAAATTTTTGTCAAAACATTAAAACTCTCCTATTGTTGGTTAAAATATATAGTAAACCTTTAAAAATTAAAACATTTAGTATAATGTAAACAGAAACAATTGTTTTATTATCAAGAGTAGTTTGAACACTGCTTGGCTGCTTGTTAACTTCTTGTATAACTTAAAATTGCAGAGCTAGCAGAGTGAGCATCTTTTCTGTGCATTGGCAAATTGTCATGTTCCTTTCTACTAAATTTGGATCAGCTTCCAACATTTTATATTCTGCATTTTCAGTGTGAAATGGCTCCAAGTGTTCCTTTAATGTGAAGGGTTTTTGCTGGCATCACTTCCTGTGGAACATATTTCTTCTTTTTGTCACAACCACATTCAAAATTTATGTCTGTAAGTTTGCCTTCACTAAGTTCCTCTGGCTGCATATCTAGAATCTCTCAAACAGGGGCAGTGGCAACATTCCTGCAGTCAGCTATTTCTCCTATTACTCTGCTTATGCTGGATTTGAATTTCATTTCCAGCATTATCAATTTTTGTTTCTTTTATCTTCGTTGGCCAGTTCTCTCTTTCAGCTACGCATTTTGTAAAATTTCTTGTGGGTTTAGCACTTGGAAGCAAGGCAACACAGCTATATGCTTTGCTCTCTGTGGCAAATTGAGTAACAGATGAGCCATGACCACTCACCAACCAACTTGAACGAAGTGGTGATTGGTCACTCATCATGATGTGCATCTCTTACTAACATAGTGATTTGGGGACTAGAGTGCTGGCAACAAAGTTTGTGTTTGTTTAATTACTCAATCTACTGTGGTAAGAGAAATTTGAATCATGTTGTTGGGGGACTGGTGTTATTTAACTAAACTCTGGTAGCTGAAATTTGTGCAAATGGGAAGTATGCAAAGTGAGGATAGCCTGTAGTTCAAAGAAGGTTGAATGTTTTGGTCAATTAAATAAAGATTGGGCAGGTTTTGATGAGATTTCAGGTACAGGGCGGCTTGGAATATTTGATCTCTGAGCTATTGAACACTTGATACATTTTATGTGGACATGTAAGTTTGGTACTACTCTTGCAACTTCTTTTATCTTCATAGGCATTTCCTTAGAGAGGACCTCTTACACCAGTTCTATAGAACAAACCCCCTACTTGTAGTAAGTAAAAACAATAGTTTTAGAAGAATAATAGTGATGGTGATTGTGAACTCAGCGTGTAGCAAGTGACACTGAAAATAAGTTTTTAAAAAATGTTTTATATAATGTTGATGTTCTAATAATTGAAAATGAAACAAAGTTAACAAATCAATTTTGATTTTTTTAGTCAGGCTACTCCATTTTCATTGTCTTCATATAAGCAAATACTTTATTCTTAAATTTGAAAAATAGAGTCTCAATCTATGTTGGTTGAAATTGAATAGTGTTAATTTATTTTTTCCATTCCTACAGGTGAATTGACACAGAGGTCTCAAGATGCCATTAGTGAAAAGAAACATTGATCCTAGGCACTTGTGCCACACAGCATTGCCTAGAGGCATTAAGAATGAACTGGAATGTGTAACCAATATTTCCTTGGCAAATATAATTAGACAACTGAGTAGCTTAAGTAAGTATTTTTATATCACTTAAAAATATTTCTCACAAACCAGAATGTTATGCTTTAGAGTATTAAGAAGATGTGCTTGTGATTAATTTTGGGGGGGATATTTGGTGAAAAGAGTACAAAATTATCCTGAAAAATTTAGTAATTTTAAGTAAAATCAATGAGTTTTAGAGTAATTTCTTCTTCCCCTATGTGTTTCTTCTGGGAAAGGGAAATATCTTAGGAACAGAATCATGTAATGGGTGAGAATTATTGGGATTGTCTTTAAAATATGATTCAATGTACATAAAATCAATGAGTTTTAGAGTAATTTCTTCTTCCCCTATGTGTTTCTTCTGGGAAAGGGAAGTATCTTAGGAACAGAATCATGTAATGGGTGAGAATTATTGGGATTGTCTTTAAAATATGATTCAATGTACGAAAGATAGGACCAGAGTTGTGCTTTTGCTTGGTTGTTATCACCTATTTACTCTTTTTAGGGTTTTCAACCATTTGTGTTTTGGGACACTAGTCTCTCTCTCTTTATATATATTTTATTAGCTTAGGGAAATATTTTTGTACTATTAAAGATCTAAAGTGAAAAATGTGAGGTCATCACTAGTTAGAGGATTAGACTAGTCAAGTGAGTTGTCTAAGGGACATCAGGATATCAGTCAATAGTGTGATATGCAGCATAATATGAAAACAACATGTGAACCTGGCCTCTGGCTGACAGAAGGCAAACAGGTTGGCCAGAGAATAAAGCCCAACGGAAATGGCAGGTGGGGGAAAAGGAAATGGGTGCTATGTTTCTATTACAAGATTACAGAACAGAACTACTTGCTGAAGGAATTGAACAAATTATTTCCTATTATTCTAAATTAAATGTTAGAGAAGTGAAACAATAAGTCCATTCTATCTTTTGAATTGAAGGATTATCTCTTTAATTTAATAAGATAAAACAAGGTATTCTTGGCCTACATACATTTTATATTCTCCAAGGGGTCCTAGATTTATCTTGTCAGTCATACCCACCCTCATGCATTTTCCTGATAAGCAGGCTTGGAAGGTATTCTTGGCCTACATACATTTTATATTCTCCAAGGGGTCCTAGATTTATCTTGTCAGCCATACCCACCCTCATGCATTCTCCTGATAAGCAGGCTTGGCTTTTCTTTTCTCTTCCTTTTAATTTTTGTACTTTCTTTTTATAATCAAGTAGTTAGCACAAGATAAAGAGGGGCTGTTAATCTAATTTGTTTCAAGTGAGAGAGTTTGGGCATACACATCTATAGCTAGAATAACATAAAAAGTTACATTTGACAGCTGCTTTGTGAGAATACTAAGTTTTTGCATTGCCTGTGAAATAGTTATAAGAATAAATGAAAGACTATTTCTTTGAAGTTGTTTTAAGTACATTCCTTGTTGCTTTTGGTGGCTATTTCAGGTTTCTTATTTGCAGTGCATCACTAAAATATTGTATGTTTACTTATTTCTTCCTTAGGAAAGGAAATGTAGAATGTACTTTTGAGACTAGTCAAAAGAAGAATTTTAGGGTTCCCAGATGTTACATTAACATATTATTAAAACACATTGTTTAAAGATATTTTATGGACTTTTTTGGTGGTTTAGCGCTGATTGAATCCAAAGTAAAATGACTTCATGTAAAATTTATTTTACATGTACATGAGTATATCAGCATGTTAGTATTAAAATACATGTTAAGAGTATAGAAATTACATTGGTAACATAGGATAAAACATTTTTAAAACAAAATTAAAGTGAATTTTGGATCTAATACAGGCATCTTGTTTTAGGTATATAGCAATATAGAATTTAGAACTATTATAATTAAGGATATTAATTTGTTGTACTCATTTCATCCATGGCCTAAAGATGAAAATTTAAGGAATTTTCAAGTCTGCAGCAGTCCATATAAGCAACATCTATCAGCAAGCACATGGTCATGTTGTAGCCAAACTCTGTAAATAGAAATACGTTGTAAAAATGTAACTAAATTGGGTTTTGGTTGCTTCACATTTAGGAATTGGAGACCATATAGGCATTTTCTAAGCAGTTTATAGAGATTGAAAAACAAAGAGAAGATTTATAAAATATTGTAGCAAGGTGTTACAACAGTTTAATGCCCTGAATTTAACTTCTCTGGCAGCTTTCCCACTTGACATAGTTGAGAACCTGGGATTAAATTTGAAAGGTCTCTAGATAGCCAGAATAAACAAGCCTGTGCACATAAAATAACTAATTGATCCCTCTCTCAGAGCCTGTTTGCTTTTTTTTTGATAGTTCAAGCAGGTTTGATGATGTAGTTTCCAAACATTTATGCTTCAGAGCATTACAAGAGGAGGTATGGGGGGAGATGCTAATAGGAGGAGGCATCACTGAAGCCAGCAAAAAGAGGTAGTTTACAGCAAAGAAAAAGTGACATAAGAAAAGAAGCAGCAGAAAAACTGGAAAGAGACCATTTAATGTAAAAGCAAATATTCTTATACATTTCAAGGTTCTTTTCTGGCCTAGGAGAATACTTGATTTTCATAATTAAGTCATGGCCACGAGTCTTCAAGAAAAGGTTAACTTATGTTTAATTTTGTATTCCATTTAAGAAGACGGGGAAGCTTAGAATATATTTCACAACAGTTTCCATTTAAAATAATTAAAATAATAATTGAGGCGTTAAATAATAATCTTTGAATTAGAAGACTCGATTATCCAAAATGGTTCTAAATAATTGAGATGCTCACTTTGATACCACCAAAAGTTAGCACCAAAAGTACTTGAGAACAGAGCAGTGAAAGAAAGCTACAAAGCTCCATGTGGCTTACAGCTGGACGTGCTCTTGACTTCTTTATCACAAATATGTACATCACAGTTTTTTGTGAGATTTTTCCTAGTAGAACCTAATTCTGATTTGTAGTAGTTAATTATTTAAATCTAGAATTTATATAAATTTTCTTTTCCCTATTTTGTCATTATCTTAACAACCATTGAGACTGATTGTCTAAGGGATCTTTTACCATTCTTTTCCCATTACTTTTCTCTGTTGAATATAGTCAGTTCATGTTGCCAAGATTAGCTGTAGAACCTACTTACTTTTTAGGCTCAAACTTGGATAATTTGACAAATAGATGGATAGGTAGCAAGCTAGATGGGTAGGAGGGTGGCCGGATAGATTGGATCAGTAAGACAAATTAGGTAACTAGACAATGGACAGAAAACATTCAGTACTTTTTTTTGTGATAAAACTACATGGCCTCAGCAACCCAGTCCAGGGTTTATCATTCCAGGTGAGGAGCTGCAGAATGCCCCAGTGCCTCTCCCAGGAGTCTGGGGTCCTGATTGAAACCCTAGTAATCTCTCCCCAGGGTTACCCCCTTCACCAGAGGAGCTACAGAGTGCCCCAGTGCTTCTCTCAGGGCTCCAAAATTTCATCCATTTCCCTGGAAACCCCACCCACTTTACTGGAGAACAGCCAATTACTGCAGCACCTCTCTCAGAAGCCTAAAGTCCCAACTGTGATCCCACTGTCCCTATCTAGGGTTGCCCACTTCAACTGAGGGCTCCAAAATTTCATCCATTTCCCTGGAAACCCCACCCACTTTACTGGAGAACAGCCAATTGCTGCAGCACCTCTCTCAGAAGCCTAAAGTCCCAACTGTGATCCCACTGTCCCTATCTAGGGTTGCCCACTTCAACTGAGGAATCACTGAGTGTACCAACAAATCTCTCAGGGCTCAAAGTCCCACCTGCAGCCTCAGTAATCTCATCCTGTGCCACCACTCCAGCAAAGAGCTGTTGAGTATCCCAGGGCCTAGGCCACATAGGCATTATTTGCAGATAAATTTGACACTGAATACAGTCAAAGAAAGCAGATTGAGACTAAATTACTGTACTCACCAGGAACTAAGCCTAAAACACACCATCCAACCAACACTTCAACACATCTATAGAAAAGAGCCTCTCTCTTCTGAAGCTACCCCAGAAAGTTAGAAGTAGCAGCTGTTCTACCAGATGCCCAGACATAAACCTAGGGATACAAGAAACATGAAAAAAACAAGGAGACATGGCACCCCAAATGGAGTACAATAATTCTCCAGTACAAGACGCCAAAGAAAAGGAAATTTATGAAATTCCTAAAAAGGTATTTACCACAATAATCTTAAGGAGACTCAACAAGATACAAGAGAATACAAATAGACAATTCAGTGGAGCCAGAAAAACAATTATCTGAATGAGAAACTCAAGACAGAGGTAGATATTATAAAAAAGAACCAAGAAGAATTCATTAAATGAAATTAAAAAAATACAACCCCAAACTTAACAACAGACTAGATCAATCATAAAATAGAATTTCTGAACTTGTAGACAGATCTTTTGAAATAAGCCAATCAGACAAAAGAGAAAAGGGAATAAAGAAGAATGAAGAAAGTCTACGAGATATTGGACAACTTTAAGCAAACAAAATGAAAAAAAAAAAAGCTTTTCTTCAAAGAGCAAGAAGAAGACAAGGATGCCTACTCTCTCTACTCTTATTCAGCATGTTACTAGAAGTCCTAGCCAGAGCAATTAGGCAAGAGAAGGAAATAAAGGGCATCCAAATTGGAAAAGAGGAAGTCAGATTGTGCCATTTGCAGATGACATGATCTTAAATGTCATCTTTTGCAGAGTGACGGAGATGCAAAAGATTACTCAGAACCTATGTATTCAGAGTAATGAGAAGCCTGAAGGGACTGCACCAAGGGAAAACTCCTTCAAGAGAGGAGAGCCCATGCACAGCCCTGAGTCAGTTTTTGCTTCAGTTTTTGTTGTAAGGAAAAGGAAGTTACAGAAGAAAAACAGGTGGTTAATCAATCATAGTGAAAACACAGACAAACTGCCTACATGACAATCTTCATTAAAACAGATGTAACTTAAAATAGTTCAAGAAATTTACCATCAAAAGGAGTCATAAAACTAAGCTATGTGATGTACAAAAGGAAACAGTGAGATAATAACCAAAGTGCCTAACT